AGGGAACATTAGCTTGAAGAAAATTAGCTTTCTGACAGACTGCTCTATATTACAGCCTTTAAGTGACTTCACTGGGAAAGGGAGCAAGGGAAAAGGCGTGTTTCTGTGGTGTTTTGTGAATACAGGGAAGAGCGATATGCTAACCAGAGGGATGAACACTAAAACAAACATGTTCTTTTGTCAGTAGGAAGAAGATTCACTTGTCAAACTATTCATTAATGATTTCCATGAATGAAAGTGAAAATAAATGGATTCAAAGTGAAGGTCTAAGATGGACAGCACTTGAAATTATTCATTCAAGAGTTCTGGTATTTTCAACAGAATAGAGAGAAATATAGTAAAATGATTGTACTGGAACTAACAGGCACCCTACATTAAAGTGGAACATTTTCCTTTAGTGCTAAAAGCTTAAACTGAAATCTAATATCCGACTATCAAGAAGTAAAAAATATATTCTGTGAAACTTACACATTACAAAGCAGTGTAAGAAATAAAATACATCATGTTTTTGCTTTTGTTTGGTCCCACTTCAGAGTTGTATGACCTCAGCAAATATAAAACATTGTTTTTAATTATATATTAATTATTTGTCAAGTGAAAAACCATCTAAATAAACCTGACTCAGCGTGAAGAGGTATGCACTTTTAAGTGAATAGGAGGTTGTGGCACCATAGCAGAGACAGATCCCAAAAAAAAAATGGTTAAGGAGAACTGTCGGCCCATTGTTTGTAAAATTGCTTTAATTCTGAGGGTTTTTCCAACTAGAGCTCCCGGATTGTCAGTCACGTTTTAGCATTTCAATTAGATTTAACTCCAGACTTTAACCAGGTCTCTTTAAGGCCTTTTTTAAACTTTTTTGTTAGCCCATTTAGAGGTGGATTTACTAGGATGCTTCATATCCTTGTTCTGCAGCATAACTCAAGCAGTCTCAAGCCTTTTTCTGTAATAGGTTCATTAGAAGTTATTCAAAACAACCTCTGATAGAACACACTCTTTTTTGTTGTTGTTGAAAAGGACATACGTTATTGCTGCTAGAGGCTCAATCTGCAGTGATAAAGAGTAAGCAAGACCGAGTCCCACTTTAGCATTAGGAGCTTTTTTAAAAAGCTTAAAAAGTGGCAACAGACCATAAACCCCCAGTTTAAGACATTAGATGCCCTTTATGAAGCCATTTTTTAATGTTTAGCCTGGCGAGCCTACAGGGAAAAACTTTCAACAAACTAGTTCTTAAGCTAAAATCCAATTTACAACTATTTTTCTATTTTTCTTTTGGTTTTAAGTTCCACTCTGCTACCACTAAGGATCCAACAGCAGCTATTTTTTTTTTTTATCCCAAGCTTCAGATGAATGAATTGATGCGATCAGATTATTTATCTCCCCCCATTTATCTCATAGAAGAAATACTCCCTTACATGACTGTTGATAGTTAGATTTTACACCCAGCTCAATTCTAAAAAATCTCAATAACCCACCGGATTGTAAAGGGATTATGCAGCTATGTGGATAAATATATCTGTTTCGCACAAACACGTGTTTTTTTCAATAAAAAACACCCACAAACACATTGATTACCTTTTGCTTCTGTGAGGCCTGTAGTAAATCTGCCACTATAAGGTTATCTATAGTAACAACACACCGGGCTTGACGTCAGCTTGGCTAATTACATTAACAAATCACCCTGTAAGTGAGCCATGCTTCATATGAAGGCAAATAACATCGCCTATTGATGCTGAGATGATGCCGGGCTCCGGGAAGCTCTGCGACACAAACTCACAGGGATGAGATTCATCACTGTAGATGTGACATGTGAGCTTCCCCTGTCTGCCCTCTACTTGTTACTCTCTACTGCCGTGATGATTGCAGAGGACCGGCCGAGGCAGATGTCTGCTTGTCTTTAACGTCCCTCACATGTTCGAGCGTGAGGCTCCGAGGCAGTGTGAGAATTTAATGGGGTGGGGGGGGAGCACCGCTGAGACAGGGTGTGAATTGGCTCTACGAGCGTGTGAGTGTTTTTAGTGGTTCCTCTATAAGATTCTGCTGCAGTGAATTCACACATCAGCCTTCACTGCAGACTCAAACCATGATGTCATCTTTTCCTTTCAACTTTTTGAATCCCTCAAGCTGCTGAGGGGTCGGCTTTATCTCGTTCTGGGGTGAAAGGAGTTTATTAGACGGAGGAAAGATTGTTTTTTTTCTTACTTTGCTCTTCCTTTACAATCATTCAGAGAGCAAAATAGCTTTAATTCAAAGAAGAAACATCACCTCCCTACAGCCTTGAAAATATATGAATCAATTATCAAAAATAAAAGTGCAGAATTCGTAATTTACAATAAAATACAATTAAGTCAAGCTTGAGTAATTGAATAAAGATAATCAATTGGGCTTTCTAAATGAAATGTATCATGTTATTTCTTCTCACAGCCATAAAATAGGCATAAAATAAACATCAGCAGTAAAGCTGACAGTGCTGATTGTTTAAGTAAATAAGGTTACAGTAAGCGTTTAATAACATAACTCTAAAATACAGGTTTGACAAAAAGTCGAAGTGGGAAAATACTATGATCACCTTACATTTGAATATCAGGAGTGTTCAAAGAACAGAGATTAGAACATCTTTGAAAAAATTTGTTTACAGCTGGTAAAATACATTTATAAGGTTTTTTTTAATCATAGTTAATGAATGAACAGTTGTTTTAAGAAAAGCACTTTTAAAACAAATAGAGATCATTTAGTGGAGGAACAAAGGGCTCTCCAGGCATTTGGATGAGAATTAAATGATGCAAAGTTTATGCTCTGGATGCAAAAGTCCCCAGATTGTAGCCCAATAAACAACGGGAAAATAAATGCTTCAGCTCATCCAAGAGAAGCTTTCAAACCGCCACGGATATCTCAAAATGACTAAAGAAAATCATTTTGCTTTACCAACCTTTCAGGTAGAAATATTTATCACCAGCAAAAGCCCTTTATTTCGCTTATATGTCTCTTCAATAGCAGCTAAAGCAGGATCTGCACCTGCTTTAGTGACTTAATGTGCTCCTGATCTATAACCTGCTGTGCATAACCTTGTGATGAACCACAACACGATATCTGATGGCAAAAAGACATAAAAGTAAGCAGCACCACAAAGGGGTAGCTCTCTATCTGCCCTTTTTGTTTTGTCTTCCTCACGTCTTTGATTATTTATTTTTTTTTACGAAGGTATTGTGACTTTGAAAATGCTGAGGAAAAGAAATGTGACTAAAACGCCAATGAATTCAGCACTTATCTGAGCTGGATATGTTCTGTTTACATCAGTTAAAACAGAAGCATAAGAGGCAGAAAAAAGTGTGTTTCAAAGAGAAACCCAGCTAGGCATGGAAAAACTGAAATAACCGGTTGGATGGAGTAAGGTGAACATGTCCCTGACGCGCATCGTCCACACATTGGATGAAATAAACACTAATATTCTAGAGAGGGGGTGGGGGTGGGGGTATTACTGCAGCTCCCCTTGAAATAAAACTATCAGCCTGATAGAGAGATGTGCTGTATGTTTATTTAAGTTCATGTTCCTATCCAAGAACAGCAGAAGCATAGCGCAGCCTAGTGGCTGCAAGACAAAACAACCCCGGGTGTTTTTGCTCACTACAAACAAACATAAGCATCCAAGCTGCCACCAGTTTGATTTTAGTTCACTCTAAATTTCTTGTTGACATTTGTGGATGTTCAGGTCTGGAAAAACACTTCAAAACTGATGGCAGTGATACATACTGCTAAAGACCCAGCTGCTAGTTTTATAACAGATAGATTAATGTGTCTGATATTATTTTTAACTACAGACAGAATAGAATAGAATAGAATAGAATAGAATCGAATCGAATAGAATAGAATAGAATAGAATAGAATAGAATAGAATAGAATAGAATAGAATAGAATCCTTTAGTGGCCCAGAGAGTGGACACTGAGGTAAAAAAATAAAATAAACACAACGAAAGAAAAACAAACTGTACATCTAAAGCAAATCCCTGAACATTTACTAAAAATAGTACATTCAGATGTCAAGTGATCACTGTTGTTATTCCAGACAGTTCATCTTTTGTTTTTGATAAAAGCTTTTATGAACAGTGAAATAATAACCACAGCTTCTTCTTTCCTTTAATTATTATTATGAGACGACACAAAAACCAATTTGTATGATATAACCAAACCAAATTAGGACCAAACAAGCTAACAGGTTTGCTGTAAAATAAAGGATATCTATGACAAAGCACCTCATGTCCACAGATAGGTAAGGTAAAGGATATATGATGCTAGGGGCCTTTTTTTAATCAAAGAAAAGACCATGAACTACAGTACATGGATACCAATGGGGTGGTCAATATAAATTATATTTTAGATATATAGATGACTGCCTGCTTTTGATACACTCAGTACAAATCAAAATATATTTAACTAATTTTCATAAAAAATGCCACTAATACTTAGCTACCCCCTTATGTTTAAACACACAAGACATGACCAGTAGTATATGAGCTCTTAAGTGGAAAGCCAAATGTGAAAATATTAACCTGAGGTCCTATTCAACAATACAATACATATAATTGAGAAGTTCATGTATTTCAGTAGGTGTTTTTTTCAGGGATAATATGTGGTAATCTATCAGCCTTGGAGCCAGAATCATTCTCAGAATCCCAATACACTTTTTCATGTAAAATGGGATCGTACTGCCTTCAAATGTTAGTACAGTCTGTATATTTGTGACGGGGTGTAAAAAGATCCACATGGTACCGTTGATGTTTTCCATACACAATCCCTTCTCTTCCACAAGCCTCCCAGGCCCTGTTAGTGAAAAGCTCTGCACAGCGTGATGTTCACACCGCCTCCCTTCACAGCAGTACGCCGTTACACAAGAAATGAGCAAGACTTTTCCCTCCGAAGCAGCTGAACAGTAGATCAGGCTTACAGCAAGGTGTTGTTTCACTGACCTGACGAACTCTAACAGAGAGTGTTAGGGTGCATGTTACCTGTCTGATAGGCTCAGGTACTCGGTAGCGGCAGCAGGAGTGTGTGAGGCGGACAGCTGTTTCCAGGCTGATCTTGTGACCCACAGAGACGTAAACCGGTTTGGAGCTCTTATCGTAGCTTCGCAGAGCCTGAAAATGAAGACAAATATCTCCTGTAACTTGCAACTGTTATCATTCTTAAAGCAATCTGACTTTAGTCCAGCTGGCTATGCTTTGAAATAAGGCCGCAACAAAGCACTGCAGTGCTTTAAAGCTTCTATTCTATTTTCTTTCCTTGTTTGTTTTGTCCTTTGACGTACCTTTCCGAGTACTTTGCCGGAGGCAACGGTGAGGGGAAAACTGTCTCCTCCTTTTTGCAGAGCAGCAATCTGTGGAGGCAGAGACACAGAAATCAAAGTCAAAAGACGTGTGCAACATGACACGACAAATAGCAGCGGAGGGAAGATAACCGTTAAATCGGAAAGAATGAGGAATGACACTCTCTGGCTTTTTTTTCTGGAATCAAGTGACCTGATTTTGAGGTTTAGCTGCAACCATGCTTCAACATCTGATAACAGAAAAACTCAGAGTTTGTCCTGCTTGGTAAACTATGACCCAAAACTGTTTTACATGGAATGAAAGGGGGGAAAAAATGTTTCCTTTTTCTTCTTAAAATTAAATATCTGGAAGAGGTCACTAGTTTTTTTTAATACACAAAAAAAAAATCCTATTTTATCATTTATTTTATCATTATTTATAAAAAAAAAAAGAACTACATATAGTTGTTTCTAAAAGTTGCCGAATTAGTAAACATGGTGTACATTATGAACATTAGGGAAGAGGGAGACCAAGGCAACAGACAGATCAGAGAAAAAGTTGTGCAGAAATTTAAAGCAGGGACATGTGATAAAAACAGTATATACTTTCTTTTTTATTTGTTTATTTTGTTGTCCTTTTATTTATTGTTCTGCATCAATTTGTGTTGTGATAAATAAATTCCAATGAAATACACTAATGTTCTTAGTTATAAGGTGACTAAATGTGAAAAGGATTGTGAATATAATTGCCAGGTTGTACTGAAAAAAAAATTTATGAATGGGAAATGTTGCTTTGCATTGCAAAAAACTGTCTTAAAACAATCTAAAAATGTCTATTTAATGAAGATTTGTTTATGCACCGAAAAGAGAAAGCTCATTTAAAGCAAGCAAGTAACAAATCTTTTTTATTTATTTTTCTTAACATTCAGGGTAGTCCCATTCTATCTTATAATATGACTCCTTAATATAACTACTAGAAATCTAAATTTCCAGGTGGTAGACAGTATTGACTGAGGTCCAATCCATCACCAGTATCAGCTAAACCAAACTCCAGCTGACTCTATTCATCCTTGTTTTCTTTTTGCATTTTGTCCACAACATTTAAACCAGTTTTATTGATATAGTACATTAAAATCTTATCTAATTTAATTTTAAAGCTTTTGCAGATTTTTATCTGAGAAAGGTCCTAAAGCCATAATATAAACTTGCATTACTAAATGGGGTATTGATCAACTTTGTGGAACAATCTAACAATTTATTTGTCTCAACAAATAAAATCACATAGAGAAAATAAAATATTTTTTGGTATTGATTCAGATAAATTAATAGCATGTGTCACCCTTGATAGAAATTTTGCATTGCAAATATCGAAGTTAAAAAGTTTCCTTTGTAAATTAAGCCAATAAATAATGTGCTTCCTGCTTTAAGCTACATTTTTAAACCTGCAAAAAAAAAGCCATTCAGGGGCAAAATCTATGTAATTTACTTATCTTTATTATATGTGACTGAAATGAGCATGTCCTATTTTCCTATATCCTGTATTAAAGAAATTATTTGGATATTTCACTTTTTCTTTAAAAGGAGAAAAAAAGAAAACTCGAACACAAATAGGACTTAAATACGACCTCTGCTCGGGCTAAAGTTTTGCTCTAACAGTCAAAGAGATGGTGCAAAGTCAGCCGTAGCGATGCGGGCTGCTGTTGACAGGTGCACTGTGTGTTTATGGGCCAGAGCGATGAAGGGAGTTTAGCCTCCATGATGGATGGACTGTCTGCTCCACTATGACTGATTACAGCAAGCAGCCAGCAGAAGGAGGCAGGAGGGCTGTCCAATCCAACCTGGGATGGGTCCAACAGTGTGTGAGATAGATGACTGCCTGCTTTCTATGAGTGTGGAACAGGACAAATGCCAGAGGAGAACAGAAGTCAGAAAGGCGGAGCAGGTCATAACGCACCAGCTGAAGTTACAGCTAGGCTATTAATAATGGCAAAGAAGACTAATTCAAATAGAAATAGAAACCATCCGAAAACATACAGTATCCTACTGATGTTTTAATTCAGTGTCTGACCTCAAGCACTCCAGCAGATTTAAAAATCTATTAAAGTCTTAACTACTGTGGCTACAGGAAGTATTCACATCCCTTTCAAGTTTTCACTCTTTGTTTCATTGCAGCCATTTGCTAAAATAAATAAAGTTCATTTTATTTCTCATTAATTCAGCATTCATTTTACATTCATTTTTGTGACAGAAAAAATACAAGAAGGTGGAAATGTTTGCAAATTAATTACAAAAAAACTTTTTTTGCTTTTAGCAGATGGAAGCAATGAAACAAAGTGAAAAAATGAAAGGGGTCTGAATAATTTCCATACCCACTGTAAATCAGAGCTCAGCTGAGTTGATTGTAATGAACTCATCAGAACTTACAATTACTTCCTTTTAAACTGTCTTTTGCAGTGTTAGTGTTGCTTACATTAATATTGCACTGGTGAAATTTTCAAAATATATTCTGCAGCTTCTACAGACAAAAAAAAAGGCTTCCAAAAGTGATTAAGCTCTCAGAAAAGGTCATGGTCAGCAGAGTTGGGAGCACATCAAACAAGTAAGCAGTCAGATTATGTAAGCTAAGCCCAGACTGTAAACAAGGAGTTTTAAAGCTTTTCTTCAGAGGCAACAAAATGTGGTTTCATGTAAGGATTTTTTTTTTTTTTAATCAAGGAAAAGGTGGTTTAATACAGGTGCCAAATAAACTGTTAGGTTGTGAATTTAAAAAAATCGTAATTGCAATACCATCACTAACACCTGTAGAATTTGTTAAACAGAACCTAACTGACAAAATGAAGCAGCCTAAAAGATAAAAAAAAAAGTAAAACATGACGCCAACAAACATATTCAAGAAAAGATGAGGAACAACTCAGCTGACATCTATCTGTCAGGAAAGAATATCCACAAATGGGGAAATAATAAATCAAAGCTTCGAAGGAATAAGCTGCCCGACCAAAAGTCCTCAAAGAACACAGAGAATTTATCCAGGAGGGCAAATAGAAACTGAAGCAGATGGAGCAAATATGGTGCACTTTCTGACCAAAAACAACATAAAGGCCCAACTGGACAGTTAGCCAAACACATCTGGATGATCCCAAAGTTTTTGGGAAAATAATATTCTTTAACTTGAGTTTGACTAAGTCCTGCTATAGTTTAACTCCAACTCATTTTACAGCCTGAGATGTGCCCCTACTTCGTTTTACTGAACTATTTCTCTCTATTGGGAAGTTATCTGACCCTTAAATCTTACTGTGCAGAATAGATTTATGCATCCGTATTTATCCAGTGGAGATCCCATAATTCCTCATTTAGTTTTTAAATGGCTTATTTTCCTCAATCTAGAAGGGACCCTTTTAAGGTTTGTATTTCACACATCACTCCACCACAAATTTTCCATAAGCTTCTCAATCGACTCTGGATGTGCCAAAAGACAAATTAGTAAGGCCCTCAGGGAGGAGCAATTAGAAAGAAATGGATGGGGAAGCGAGCTCTAAAATTTCATGCAGAAACTAAATTAAAAGTTAAAAGCTCGAGCCCAAAGATGCAGCATGGATATGGGACTCCAATGCTACTTGATACTGACAGTAAAGGAGAAGGCAGTATTTGGACAGACATATGGAGAGATGTTTGAAACGTTATGCTCTGGGGAGACTGTGATCCTTGTAGAAGATGATCAGATTCATCCCGTCAGAGGAGACGAGATGCTATTTCCGATGAGGGAGCCACCGACACTAATTGAGGGAGATAGAGACACTCATTCAGAGGATTCAATTAGAACCCTACAATGCTGCATGAAGGGTGTTTTAGGCATTAGTGGAGTGTGTGTGGCCCCAAATGGAATCAGCAGTGGCTCATATGGCACTGTTCTACAGGGTACCTTGTAAAGGTATTCAAAGCTTAGGAACTTCTTCGCGCTGTGGCATGAAACTAACAGAGTCCAAGACTGTTGGGACTAAATCTCATGTCTTTGAAGGCCTCAGAGGTTGCTTTAGGACCATAAATGAACAAATGCCATTGTAAAGACTAGGAAACATAAAGGGAAAGTCAAAGATAAGATCGCGGAGAAGTTTAAATCCAAGTTAAATCTTATTAAACAAGCTATACCAAGTTATCAACTCAAAGAGCATCAATCAATCATCTGAAAATTGGAACCACTGCTGATGAATAGAGCTTACTTCATATAAAGGAACTAGACGCCGAACCATTAGTGAAGGCAAAAAACACAACCACAGAACTACAAAGTCATAGCCATCCACTTAAACTGACAGACTGGGCAGGAGAAGCATTTAGCGAAGTAACCAGGATGAGGTTAGATAGAGGCTGAAAAGACTGGAAACTTGAGCAGAGGTTCCTCTTCCTGAGATTGACCCCAAACAGCACGAGGTACAGTGGAATAGGTTGGATCAATTCATGTGCTAGAATGGTCTCTAATAATCCTAATCCAACTGAAAATCTGATGAAAAGACTTTTTAATTGAAATTCCCAGATCCTTTCCATTCAATATGACTTATTTTCTGAGGATGAAATGGAAAAGAATCTCATGCTCAAAGCTTAGAAAAGCTTGGAGAGAGACATACACTAATCTAGAAGACTGCAGCAAAGTGGTAACTCAGTTGAGCTAAGGGCAAAATTGTGCCAGAGTTATCAGATTTAGATTTTTAAGAAAAGAACTTTTTTTAAAAAAAAG